ACGTTTTCTTATTCAAGTAGATGTAAATATTTTGGGGCGTGACAAGCCCTGATCATTTCTCGGGCACGGAAAATCAACAACTGTGGAGTCTCATTCTTTCAACTTGTAATTATTGATACATTTCACTACCTCTTTTAGCCTCTATGATGAGAAATAGATGTGTGTGTGGGGGAGTGGGGGCGGTAGTTGGGTGGTGGTGGTGGCAAATTTGGGGAATGGATCAGCAACATAATTTGAAAACAGTTAAGTGTATATTTCAGCTAGTTGAAAATACTTGAGATATATTTGGTCTGTCATAGCTGTACCTAATTGCATTTGTGGAATTTCAAATGGAAAACCCTTGGGTCAAGGTCCCCTTGCTGAATGTGGAGTTTTGAATGGATTGTGTGCATTTTGCCTTGTTAAGGAGAGATCGCTATCCTACGGCCAGGGAGGGGCACAAGTCGATAATTCTCCCAACATTTTATGCCAGCCTCGACCTTGGGAGAAACTCCCTGAAATGGCAGGAATTTTGCACAGGGATAGAGGTGGTTTCTCTGTCGCTGGACACATATTGGAGGTGGGCTGTATGAAAGGCCAGTCTAAGTTCTATGGATCTTTGTATTAAATATTTGCCCTTCACTCCCCACCCTAACTACTCCTTACCCATGCTAACATATGCTACAATGTCCATATTCTCCATGTCACCTCATGCCATTCACACCCATGGCCCCTTATAGCCCCCATGCCAGTTAAGTGCCAACTCATGCCACCCCCTTCCACTCCCTGTCAACCCACCCAGCATCCATCATGGTCAGACAGCAGCAGCCATGCTGGGATGAAATAAATTTTTAAAATATATCTATTTCAGCCTTCACTGTGAAAAAAAAATCACATTTTGACTTCAAAATTTTTAAAGCCCCTCAACTTAATACCTACTAAAACAAAGACTTGCATTCACAAACACTCACTCATCCTTTAATCATACCCTTTATCTGTCAATCAATTTCTGAATTTACATCCTGTTCCCTCCCGCCAGTGGCACAATTGTCAATTGTGAAGTTGTCTACGGATGATTTATGCTTTTATAATAACAGCTTTTGGGCTAAATGTCAATAAATAACTTTTCTAACTGCCAGAACAAATGTTTACTAACTCTGGCTGACACACTTAGGCTACTTCTGTTTTTTAAAGGGCTGGGGAAAATTTCACAACTTTTTTAAAGTCTCACGGACATAGGCAGATTTTTTTTTAATTTTAAAGAGTAAGAGGTTTAAATAAAAGTTCTACAGATTTATTCATGGCATAAATTCATAACTCCCACATTGTGGGAAAAGGCCCTTGTTGCAATGAAAATGAGATGTTTGAACGCTCCCATCAGCTCAAATTAGATCTGTTGAATAGGGCCAGGACTTCCAGATTTGGGTCTTTTCCACCATTTTTAAAAGTACCACAGAGCTGCTTTGACTCTGCAAATGTCCAGAATTATCTTCTTAACTGATTGACAGCCACAAAGTACACCTGGAAGGTAAGCTTAGAGGTAAGGTTGTTGACCTGGAAATGGTCCTGATGTTCTGTTAAAAAGTACTGTCAGATACTGCCCAATATTTCTGTTAAATCCCATGACCTTCACCTTTTCTGTTCTCGGGATCAGTAAATACCAGATAGATCTTCAGCTTGTTACATATCATTCACCATTGTGCTCTGCACCATGATGTTGTAAACAGCTCTGAGATAAAGCTGAAAAACGCATCAATCATCAGTACTTTCCCTTTCACAATTTTTGTGGAAACGGGACTAATTTTTAGTATAGCTATGAAAAAGAAACAATATAATGCATTCAGTCAATGTAGGTCAGTGGCACTAATAAAACTACACATCAAATATCACAAACAGTCCAATAAAAAAAATATTGTTTCATTCACTGAGTCATGACAGGAGATCTATTAATTATGTATTATGTACATTGAGAATTACACTGTAATTTATTATTTCTGTAAAATAACTAAATTTCAGTTTCACAGCAACTGAGTCTGAAGTTTAAACTCCATTGCAAGAAATGTAGTCACAGAAGACTAATACTTCAGCTCAGTCCAGAGTGTTGTATTGTTGGAAGTGAATCCTTTTGAATAAGATGTTAAATCAATGTCCTGTTTATCTGTTCACACGCATGTAAAAGATGCCATGATACAGCATCAAGGAAAAATAGGAAAGTTGTGTGCTTATTAGTCAGTGTCTCCAAAAACAGATTAATTGGTCATTTAATCTTGCTGCTGCCTGTGGGACTATACACTCATTGATGGCTGTATTTGCCAATAAAACAATTACTACAATTCAAATGTGAAGCGCTTGAATTAAATGCAATTTATTGTTATGGAGAATGGAGATGCTTCTCTCTGGAAACTTCTAATTGGTAAAGATCCCTCACCAAACAATTAAACGATGAATGATTTTAATATCTATTTTCTTAATAACTAAAGCTTTGTGGTTTCCTTTTTAAAAGGTGCATAGTTCTACTTAGCAGAATACTTTGAACATTTCAACAAAGCCCCGCTGTTCATGAGGATGCATGCCCAGAGAATGTCACAGTTGATGATTTTCACGACCCAGTGTGCATATTTACTCCTGGAAAACTGCAGATGGGAAATCACTGGAGTTACAGTGGGCAAAAAGGTTCACAGTAAGTATCAAGCTGATAAGCCAGTTTGCAAAGGGTGGGCATGCAAATAGTGAGGTTTATCTGCACTTACAAATCCTGTCCTTACAAAAAAACATGTCTTTCACATTTCTCTGAACAACACTCAGGAATTAGGCTTAAAAAGTAATGTAGCAGCAATTTGCACATCACACTTCACAAACTAAATATGAGGTGCCTAACTTGATATGCAAAATATACATCACACCTAGATTTGGTTGGTTCAAACTTTGTATTTGCTGTGACAAACCATAACCATGCGATTGTTCGGAAAGAAAAACAAGTTTCAATGAAAATCTAAAGATATATGAAAACAATAAATGTTGAATAACCATTCAGAAAACTTGACAATGAGTGAACATTTTTATTTCTGTCTTTAGAATAAAACAAACAATTGGAAGTGATAACAGGAATAGATATTTCATCAATTTTTATTTCTCAAAGTGTTCTGCACAATCCAGATAATTTATCAACATTTAAGATTTTATTTTCTATTGGTATATTCCATAACATTTATTATAGTTATTGTTATGAGAAGTTTAAATAATTTTCTTGAACATTTTACATAATATGAACATCGATTCCTTTCCACTTCAACAAATAATTAAGTACTTATGGGTACACTGTTGTAAGGTGCCTAAGTAGCAATATATCTGAAGTTTTTATCTTACACAAAAATAAATAAATCTTTAGAAGTGGTCCTGCGATTTTATCACTGGTCCCTTCAACAGGTGGCTGTTGGTCACTCACATCTGTTTATTACAGTTGGATTGGTTCTCATCTAGCTTGTGACATAGTTGGTAATTCAAAAGATTTATGATTGATTAATTTTAAAATAAAAACATATACAAGAGTACACCGGTGGATTTGTATTTATTCTTTCTCCTCTAAAACTTGTTTCCAACGCAGAGTAATTGATTTTATCTGCAGAAAGCGTCTTCCATAAAATGATAAGCTATAACTTGTTCACAATATGAAAAACTAGGAGTTTTTCGTTGACCTGGGAGTCCTTAGTCTTCCCATTATCAATTATCTTTGCAGGTTAATCCAAATATACATTAAATAAGAGAAAAATCAAAATCAATTTTGCAGAACTATAGTTGAGAGAAATGTCTAACCTTTCTGTGGAGTCTTGTATTTACATGCAGATATTGTTAAATAAAATGACAAATGACAACATATAGGTCTAATTCTTATTTGATACAGTCTAATTACAAAAATGTTACATTATATTTACAAAAGTACAATTAAATACACCCATAACATCATTCTTTCCTGTTGTCAGGAAAAGTCTCCAACCACTCCTCGTCAGACTAATCCACATTTTGTGTTGTTGTTTATAATGGGAGAGGAGGCAAAAAGTTATCCATAATCCTCAACATTAATTTCTGTTTGATTTTTCAAACTCCAGTTACATTTACTTTTTAGATTGATTTACTTGCATTGCCTTAGTGCAGTCTTGCTGTTGTCATTCTGCTCAATGTTCTTGATATTGACATCTTGTTCTCGTTTTCCACTATTAAAACATGTAATACCATATTTAAGCCATACATCGACATTTAGTTTTTTTTTTAATTAAATGTAAAGATGACTCTTGTGAGACAGTTCTCACTTACAGTATAGAGTGATGCAACCTCAGCAATCATTTCTGGGAACAGGCACCTATTCCCATCCATTTGTCAACAGATTCATCTAGGGTGATGCTTGTGGGATATGGACGATGCATGTTGTAGGTGGGCAAATTGATGGTAATGAAAGGCAAAACAGAAATGGAGTAGTAAAGATGTCACTGGGTGGGAGGACTGAAATGGTGTAAGAAGAATTGAAGAAAGGAGAAAGAGTAATGATAGGTGAAGGTATGCTGTGGATACTAATTGCACAAATAACCAATTGCACAATAACATAACCATATTTATTTATTGTCAGGTGTTGCTGCCTATGAAGGTAGTACAAGCAGAGATCAAGAATGAGTTCAAAAGAAAAGTAGTTGAACACTTGTGGGAAATGAAGGTGCGGGGATACAAAGAGTTGGGAATGGGATTAACTGATTTTTTCCAAATGGACAGGGATTTGATGGGCTGAGTGGCCTCTTGCTGCACTGAACGCACCATCTGAGCAGGTGGTGTACACGTTTATTTCGTGCTGCACTCCATACTGCTCAGCTATGCATTGGTTACCAAACACATCTGCCTGAAACCATTATGTAATTTGTATATGCAAATTGGGACAAATGTGGGAACGAGAAAAGCTTGAGTGTCTCTCCTACGTTCAATGTAAATTTGCAAGCGACTGCAGATAGCCAGATTGGTGACTACTTCATATGTAAAGCGCTATGGGGTACAACACCAACCTGTTGTGGAATAAACAGATGCATGCTGCCCACCAGCCACATCGGGCTTTGCAGAGCCAATTTCTCGCCTGCATGATCTGTTTTCAAGACTATTTTCATAGAGTCATTAGAGTACAAAAAGGTCATTCAACTCATCAAGCTGTTTGTAGATATATTCCAATCAGTCTCATTCCCCACTCTTATTGATGTGCAAGTTTATTTCTGTCAAATGCCAATGCGACTCCATTTTGAAATCATTCATAACTTCCCCTCAACTGCTGCCCATAAGTGACTGTGTGCATGGTACTAGTAATCTCATTCACAGACTGTCACCCTGTTGGATTGTCATGCAATCTCTCGGGGTTACGATTGGCATCACCAACGTTTCAGTCACATTCCAATACAAGAGGATTTTCTCTGGCCTGTTCAATTGGATGATTCACGACCTCCTAATAAGTTTATTCCTGACTTCAGGGGCAAATCAATTTCCATACCAATATGTGTGATGGAGCTGACACCATTCAATGATCTTTACTCGAAAAGGAGTGATTGCGTGTAAATAGTGCTAGTATAAATGCATTGTTATCAATTGAGTCACCTTGAAGTAGTCTATCTGTTTAGATAATCTGTGCAATCTTGCACATCAGACATTTTATCTCCTTCAGCCTGTTCGGTGGTATTAACAACCTGCAAAGTGAACAGAATAGATGTTACATTGAAAAAATGTAGTAAATTAATAAGTATTACATTTTAATCAGTGATTGTCACAATGAGTTTTAAGTCTGGACTAATCTCTCATCTCTCATAACTGCTTGCAGTTAAAGTTAACTGCAGATTTTAAAGTTGCACTGTGTTTTTATTTTACTGCAAAAGGCATTTTCCATTGTAATTACGAGTTTCCAAACAAAATGTCAAATAACAATGCATTAATATACAAACAGAAAATGCTGTAAATATTTAGCAGGCCAGACTGCATCTGTGGTGAGAAAAACAGAATTAAGAGGCTGAATTTTTAATTAAGAGAAACAGGTAGCTTGGTTTGATTTAAAGTCTGAAGAATCTATTTCCTAACAAACCCGCCAAGTTTCAGTTTTAGTTCAGACGACATTGAGCAGATACCCAATTCTTTCCAAGGATAGGCTGGAATCTTAAATATCTTAATTAGACTAAGAGTTTACGTCTTAGACTTTAACACTGGTTGGTCAAGTTTACACAGTCGAAGGGAATTTGACAGCTACACAGAGATGAGGAGTAGGTGGACTCATGTCTACCTCTTGGATGCAGATATTGACTGAGAAGCCTCCATGATGGGCAATTACCCACCACTGAATCTCAGCCCCTCCCTTCCTGCCCTCAAGGAGTCTGATTCCCTGATGCACTTAATTCTATCTTACCGTCACAAGGCCAGTGGCCTCCGCCCACTCGTCAGGTTTTTGATCCTGCCTCTCAACACAGAGATTCCCCTCCTCCATTATTACTCAAACTCCCATTTCTCCAATCATGCAAGGCACTCAGTCATCCTGAAGCGTCCAAGCTTCCAAACAAGCCATTCCCTTTGGATCAGTTCAAGCAAAACTCCCTCTAAAATTGCAGTTCAGTAATTTCTGACTAGCACTAGTGGTCATTATTAACGTGCCAGGTTTTAGACAAGTACAGGTGTAGGGGAAATGGTGGGTGGGTAGAAAGATCTTAAAGAAAAGGTCTATGCTACAGTAGAGGGCAGGATTGATTAAATATATGTCAGCATTATTACGAGCATCTGCTGTATATCATCACTGTTTGCCACAGTGAATGAAAGGTCTGGTAATGTACAAATTTTAAAGACAAATACCTCTTTAAATAAACTGTTCTCAATAATTCATTAATGCAAGAATCTAATACATTTCACTTAAGTAAAAATACACTTACCATTTCTTCTAATACATTTGAAATAACTGTAAATATGAGCAGTGTAAGTTGAAGAATGCGTTAGAAAATTCCAAAGATAGATTAGAGAATATGACAATGGCTAACTGTTCACCTCAGTTGTATGTCAGTACAGCACAAAACTAGATGGAGTGAAAAATTGAATAGATATCTGTATATTAGACCTCTGTCCACATTTGCCGTGCATGCCCTAATGCTTGAAGCATGGTAGTGTGGAAGAAGACATTCCTTGCTTACTGACAACCAGCTGATTCTGAATATCTACACCTACCAAAGTGTCAACCATGCCTGCAGTTCCTGACACATCTACCTGGAGCAAGCTTAGAGAACAGGCTTTACAACATCTGGTTCAGCAGCAACCAAGATGGACTGCTGTGTCATCTGTTGCAAGGACACCTGCAGGTAACATGTAACATAAGCCTGGCACAGTTAGTGATGGTAAAGGCCAACGGCAGGCTAAAGCTTGTCTCTTTTGGACATATGGAGATGAAGAGATCAAAAGGGATAATCCTGTAACCTTGTCCACTGCACCAACCATCAAAAAGAATTCTTTGCTCACAGTAGTTGGTTTGTATTTGTGTTTTCACTCTGTCTGTCCTTTGGCTTCATTTTCTCCTGTCAGCTTTTTGTCCTTTCCCCTCCAACCTTCAGAAACCTTCTTAAGGGCTCATCACATGAAATGACCGTTTCCCTTTAAATTAAACCTACATCACAATTCCTACAACAAGTGTGAAATGCACTTGGAACTATTAATACTTATGCAAATGGATTGTCACAAGGAAAGTGGAAATCCTGTTAGCACATTAAGGGAATGCATTTTTACAGGGTGGTCTCCTAATGCTCTTCCATAACTTCAACGGTAGATCTGTGGAAGTAGAAAGAAATGGTTTCACATTTTATCACATTATACCCTATTTGCTAGGAATTTTTCCCCACTCAGTTGACCCTTTAAAACCTGCTCTATCTCTTCACAACTTCTTTTCCTACCTATCTTTATGTCATCAGCAAATTTCACAACCATTTCTTTGAGGCCCCAAGACTGATCCCTGTGGGACAATACCCATTACATCACGCCAGCCAGAAGATGATCCACTTTGGCTTACTATGGTATTCCCAACTAACTAAACAATCTTCTATCCATGCCAATGTTACCCCCTAAACTATATGCTTTCAATTTTACAATAAGCTTTGATGTAGAAAGTTATGAAATGCCCTCTGGAAATCCATTGGTATCCCTTTATCCGCAACATTACTTCCTCAGAGACCTCAAATAAGTTGATTAAATATAATTTTCCTTTCACAAGACCATGCTGACTGACAGATTGCCTTGAACATTTCTCAACATCATGCTATAATATCTTTGGTAATAGCTTCAAATGTTTTACCTATGAGAGGGACAGCTATTAAATTAACTGGCCTATAGTTTCCCGATTTCTCTCTGCCTTCTTTTTGAATTAAGAGTTATATTCACTATTTTCCTACCTAAAGGAACCTTTTCAAATTCCAGGGAATTGTGGAAAATTTAAAACAATGCATCAACTATCTTATTAATAAATTCTTTTCAGTTCTTATGAATGAAGTCCATCAGGACCAAGGGACTTGGCAGCAAACAGGTCCAGCAATTTGCTCAATAACACTTCCTTGGTGATTATAATTTTCTTGAGTTCCTTTCTCCCTTTCTTTTCTAGGTTTACAGTTATTTCTGGGACATTGCTTGCGTTCTCTGTAGGGAAGAATAATGAAAAATACCTGTTTAATTCATCTGCCGTCTACTTATTTTCTATTATTACTTCCCCAGACTTAATCCCCACAGGACCAATGCTTCCTTTGTTAACTCTTTTCTTTTAAGAAAGTCTGTAAAAATTCTTGCTACGTTTTTATATTTTCAGCTCGCTTTCTCATATTCTTTAAATTTTGCCTCATTAATTTAGCCATCTCTTTCTTTTTTTACAATGTTCTGCCAATCTTCTGACCTACCACCTATCTTTGCACAGGACCAACCCTCTCACCTTGCCTCAGTACCAGTGCCTCAGGAGGCTCAGCATCAACTGGTATGTGAATGATGATCTCTGCATTCATGGGACCAAAACTCCACTTCCAATGTCCTGCGATGAACATATGTTGCTTATGGACAATAAAAGACTCTGGTCACTGGAAGTGTCACCATGGCCACCTCATCCACCCCACGTCTCTGCCTCTCAGCAAAAAGAGAAAGCTGGTAGTTGTTAGAACTGGTAATGGCTTGTATACCATAGTGGGGAAGGATTCCATTTGTGCAGCATAACTGCAAGGCAGGAGGCAAGAGGTGAGGGAAAATATGCGTGTTGATTGCTCACATGAAGATGAAAGAGGTATAATTAGAGCTACAACTTGTGCCAACCAGAGGATGCTGTGTAAGAAAATTCTGTCCAAGTCAGAGTGGTGGGCATTGGCTTCTGAAAGTATTAAAACACTCACCCTTTCTGATTTCCTGAAGACTTGGGAGGGTTGGAGGAAAATACAGTAGTCCAGCTGCTGACTTCTTTGGCTACATCTAACCATGTTACAGAATCATAGAATTATTATAGTGCAGAAGGAGGCCATTCAGTCCATCATTCCTGCACTGGTTCTATTACTTAATGCCGATTTTCTGCCTTTTCCCCATATCTATGCACACCATTACTATCCAAAATAATCATGATATGCCCTCTAGAGTGCCTCAATTGAACCTGCCTCCACCATATTTCCAAGCATTGCTTGCACATCACTTTAGATCTACACCCTCTCGTTCTTGTCACTTTTGCAAGCGGAAACAGCTTCACTCTGTTCAGCTCGTTCATGATACTGAAAGCCACAATCAGATCTTCTCTCAGCCTTCTTCTCTTCAGGAAGAACAGACACAACTTCTTCAATCTATCACCATGGCTGAAGATTTTCATACCTGGAACCATTCTAGTCAATTGCGTCTGCATTCTCTCTAATGCACTGACATCTTTCACTTAATGTGGCGCCCACAAATGTACACAATACTCCAGCTGAGGTCTATCAAGTGCCTTGTAATTGCTTAGTTGAAGAGGCTGCCCTGCTCTTCTGCTCCTTGGGAGAGCTCAGCTTGCTGCAGCTGTTCAGTTGAACCTCCAGTTAAAAGTGAGAGATCGAGGCAATAGCTTTCCCATGTGTCCTCTCCATTCCTGTGGGTGCTGCAGCCAAAAAAACCCAAATACTGCTGAGCTTTTCTGCAACAAGCTGTGGTCCCTTCCTTTGATAGAGGCCTTATCATCTCCCTAATTGGTTGGGAACTCTGAAAACACATTCTCAATTAATTTGGTCTGATAAAGTGCAACTGGAAACCGCATTAATCCAATTTGCAAACCGTAAATTGCCCCACCATGGCACCAGAGAATAAGACAGAAAGATTTTACTCATACCATCTTTATTGACAATTGGCCTTCTTTACAAAATCACCACTGTTTTTGTGAACAAAGGCCTTCCAATATATATTTTTTTTCCCTTGCAACTGAATATATTTTTGCAGACATCACAAGATAATTTGCATACTAAGGTTTTCATTCCCATTAGGTAATTAAAAGAAAACTATTAGAAATGCACTTTGATTTGTCAACTTAATTTACCATTCTTGAAAAGGTAAAATATAATGGTTTGCAAAATTCTAATTTTTGAATGCAATAATCAATGAAAGAGGGAAATTTCTTCTCATTTACCTGCACAATCGAAAGGAGCTTGATATCAATTTATAAGTGTTTCAGTTTTTAAGACAACAG